ATTAGTTTGATACCCACTTAATACTATTGCGATACGGTCTAATAAGTAATAACTAATACGGTCGATACGGTTCCTCGTAAGTTGTTGTTAATGGAAGTTAAAAAAAAAAAAAATTGAGTGTAAATCCACAATAAATCTTTATGAACGTTTATACTTAGAATTTTGACAAAATTCGTAAAAATGAGCAGATTATTATGAGTAGGCAACATCATAACAATTTTGCTATTTATATCTAAGATTTTAAAATGTAATACAAGATACATAACAAGTTTGTCTACCTTTATCAAAACAAAAAAAAATTTCTACCGGAAAGTCAAATTATATTTTTATGAGCGTTTAAAGTTGAAATTTTTACGACATTGGATATTCTTTCGATTTCTCTTGTAGCGATTTTCTTATTTTGTTGTAGTTCAAAAACGAATAACTGTACCTAGACACTTGAAATTTACACTAAATGTTTATTTCATCAATTGATATACTTGATAACATTTTCAAAATATTTTGACTCGTTTTAAGCTGTTGACAGACATTTACAATTTAGATTTTTTTTCTATAAATGTCTATACAATTTTATTGGTTGGGTAAAAAAAATGAAATTGTAATGCAAGACTCTTGATAACATGTTACAATAGCCGTTGAAAAATATTAAAAATACATAGGCACGATTTTTTATAATCTTTATTTGTATAGTTCCGTGTATTTATATAATACATACGTAATTATATAATATATTTCTAAATTCTGAGCGAAATAATGAATGTATTGATTTTACAATTTCGTGTGGTTTTTGTTTTTTTTTTTACCTACCTATACCTTCTACATAGGATTTATTACAAATTATGTATTATTATATATCTATTTAAATGTTTCGATTCACATTACTATAGACATTGATATATTAAATACATTAGTATATTATTGATAGGACCTAGCCGATAACAAAAATGTTTAAATCCGTAACAATTTAATATTATGCACTATGCAGGTGGGTCAAAGCACGAGTGTCGTGCCATTTGTGGACTGTTTGCATCCAAAGACGAACAACTCCAAATCAACAATGCACGCGTGGGAGCTTATATTAAAATACTACGAGATCAAAAACGGTGATTACTTTAACTCGACACCAGCCCGTAAACTATCTCAGAGTTTCAATTTAGACATTGAAGGCTGTAAATCGTCAGTTTCTTATAAACAAGTATAATTACTCACATGACAATTTTGTTTATGAATTTAGTATTTTTTTATTTTTTTACAACCGACCATTTTTTTTTTATTATTACAGTGTCTACTGTCTATTATTGGAAATATAATTACATCCCATTCCCGATATAAAAGAAGTTACGGTTCGTGCTTTAAAGCATTCGTGTGCGCTGGACTGAAGTAAGTTGCATACATTTGAACACCTGCTATCATGTATTGTTTAAACTAAAAATAGTAGCAAATTTGGTTGTCTGCGAAGTGCAAACTATAAGTTCTATAAATTATATTTTAATAACAATTTACTTTTTCAGTTCAAAAATGTTTGTCAGCTGGTTAAAATTTATATTCAAATGTCAACCATTGGTCGAACTTTACTATCAACCTTGGAGTTATGTGGCGCAAACAGGTTAGATTTATTTTTTACTTATTATATTTCTACTTATAATATTAAGAACACAATATGTGTACTACATTTTACTATCGGTCTCGCATGTAAAATATACTAGAAAGGATTTTTTTAATGATGTACTTTGTAGTAAAAAAGTGGAATCACTTTAAACAGCCGAATTGAAAAAAATATGACAAACAGTTAGTAACGATATAATATAATCTTCGTTAAGTTAGTTTTTGCAATGTTCATCAACTTTGTTGGAAACAGAGATTTTTCTAAGCTTTGAGAAAGATAATTTCAGATTTGTGATACTTCAGTGATAGTAATTATAATTTATGTAATATGTCATAGCCTAATTATGAAATCGATCTTTTCATGAAAAGTCGTCCATTTCATGAAATAAAAATGTCTTTTTCATGAAAATAATTCAAAAAGTTGTCGCTTTCATGAAATGGTCAGTTCTAAAAGGCAGAAAAAAGTATTTTATATAGGCATACCTACAATAATAATATGTTAAAATGTTTTCGAATTTCACAAAGTGTGAAAAAGGTGTTTCTATTTCATGAAATGGACAACTTTTCACAAAGTGGCTGCGTCATAACTCAAATTGTGTACACTTTAATACAATTATTATATTTTTATAACACAAATATGATATTACATTATAAGTTAAGTATTACTTATTGCATATATCAACAATTAATTTTATTTCAGGTTTTGACGATGCATTGCATTCACTGGAAAAATTGAATCAGTATAATTTCGATCTACCTGCAGACTTAGCTATTCGACAACTACAAAACATAAAAGATGCTTTTTAATATCATTATATTTTAAAAACAATTAATATTTTTGTAAACAGAAAACAATTAATTTTTGTCTTTGTTATTTATTAATTTATTTTCGTAGAATAAAGTTAAAAATAACAATATATTTTTCTTTATACTCCCATGTACATATAATGAAAAATAACCTATTAGGTACTTTCTTAGTGGAGCAAATTATGTTTTTTTTTATAACTATTTTTAAACCATTTCCTATCTTAGTACTCTATCAACAATTAACCACCGCATCATTTATGAAAATATAAGACTAATGCTTAGGACTTAAAATTCCCTAATGGCTAATATATTAAATAATAAATATACCAAGTTACCTATTTCCCCCTGCGTTAACTCACTCAGGAGCTAGTGGCGGTTGGTAACAATTTTCCGTTCTTCACATTTCTCTAATTTTCTTTTTTAATTCCAAGTACGTTTCACAACCTATATTCTTAACAATCTATACTTGGCTCATGATTTTAGATGTAGTCTTCCTCGGATATTTGTTCTTTCTATGTAATCCCTAAACCACTCATTATTTTTCCAAGTAGATTGTTGTGTCGAAGTATATGACCAACTATTTAACAATGCCTACCTTACATATTTGTTTAAATAAAGTTCTTAGAATAAAGATATAACTAGTAATGGAGAATATCGATGTACAGACGAAAAATGACATAAATGCTTTTTTTCTTAAATAACACTAGGTATTTAATGGAAATTAGTTAAACAAAATGTCTTACATACAAATTTGGTACAAACAATTCATTAATTTGTTCAGAATGTTCAAAAACGAACTTAAATTTCTAATTTAAAACCAAATTAATGAGCAGGTGTGGAGTGCGGTAAGTCAAAATATTTACATATTACGTATTTACTTCAGGAAGCGTTGCCGACAATGAAAATTTGATTGGTAGGTACGTATTAACACAGAAATACACAATGCGACAATGCTTATTTATTGAAACATTTATTTTAACAATTGAATTTTCTCTAAAGTAACAACTAACAAGTAAGTATAGGTATAGTAGGTAACAAAATAGTGCAAGTTATAACAACATATTAACTTGAGATCACTTATCAGAAGTAACTTTTCATCGAGCTGATAACCTAACCTAACCCGAAATATATATTCCATATCTGATAGGTAGGTATAAGGTATTTTTAAACATTTTATTGTGCACCAAAATATATTGTAAAAAAATCTGAATAAAAATCCATAAGTGATATTTGAATGAAAAAATTAATGTACTTAAGCATTTATTTGTAGCGTTTAAAGAACTAATTCCATTTAAACAACAGGTTAAGACAAACTAATGAAATTTAACTAAGAAATGCACCTACATATAGAATTGCTAAGACATTGTATAGTATTATAATATCCTATACTTGGATAGACTTAATTTTTTTTATGATCAACTATTGAACTTAAATTAAACACATAATATAATACGGTGACTATTACTCAATGGCAATATACACTCAACACCTACTATACAATCGAAAAACTGCTTGATCACATTTTTTTTTTACTGTTTCAGCTTTACATGAAAAACAAAATAAATAAATAAATATTAGGCTAATATGCACTTTATTACGCGTCCACGTCCCCTCATGAATTTCAATCTTTTTTTTTAAAATTCGTGCTTTCGACATTAATTTTGAAACTGTTAGAATTTTTTGTGGAAATCATTAATAAAGAAGTTATGATAAAAATACTTACTCATGTTCAAATCCCAATATCATATTTTAGGGGGCATTTTTTAAAGTTATTTTTTGAGATTTACTCGACTTGGTTTTTCATAACAAATCAAGAGACATTTTTGGTTTGCGGAGCGTATATAGAGTGCCAAACGTATGGTGTACTAAACGCATAGGTAGTCTACTTTTTTTTGGAAAATGTACCTACTTTACATTAGACCCAACATTTTTAAAGATTTTTTTTGTCATAGGTTCTTTAGGTTTCTACAAAAATAAATCAAACAGTTTCAAAATCAGCGTTGAAGATCGTTTTTTAAAAATTGTTTTTGATATTCGTGAGGGGCGGGGGTAAAGTGCATTTGTTCCATATGTTAATAGGTAACAATGTTTGAAATTAAATATTGTGCATAATGCATACCAGTTAAATTGTAAATAATAATGATACCTCTAACTTATAAGTAGGTACGTTGCACCAACTATATATGGTTATTGTTATATCACGCTAATAATATTTTTTTAAGTTACATCATTACCTAATATTATATTATTTTTTCTTATTAAATAGCGTTTCATACATAGTAAACACAATATTGTAACATAACTTTATCGACAATATAATATAATACTTTGCACATTTTACTTTATTGCATGCAATGGCAGTATAATGAATACTGTTTTAAAATTACAGATTCATTATTCACAATCACATTTATTGTTATTTATTTATTACTCAGGATGGGAGAAGTGACAAGACAGTGCAAATCACAAAATATGTACGTGCGCCAGTTGTTATCTTCACAGACTAAAATACGAAAATATAATTTTATAACCTCTTCCGCACTCTCCAGTCTTTACAACAAACTGCACAAGTGATACAAAAAAGTCATTATCTTATCGGTCACCCGTTAAGATAACAGTATCATTAAACGCCGGAATCTATGGTGTACGAGTTTTATTATTATTTGTATTTGTATTTCGTGAAATTTTGAAGAACGCCTAAAATGATTCTATCAATAAATATTAGGTAGTAAGAACAATGTGAAACCATTATTGGTATTATAGGTATCTAGTTACGCACTTACGCAGGTATGCGCCAGTAAATTTTCTTTTGTTTACGCCGTGTGACGCGAGCATGTAACTGTAATATTGTATCTAAATGCACTTATAGTCTTTTGAATTATTGTTGTTATTGTTGTTGTTGTTGCTATTTCACACACACAATACACATTGCAACAACAACATGAGTCCTAGAGATTTCCTGTACCGGTTGAGAAGGAGTTTAGAAAAAATTAAAATGTAAGCTGTAGTTTATTTAAGTAAACATGTGTGTGTCAATAAATTAACATCTATGCATTGTACCTAATTACAGATCAAAGAAAATCGCCATTGTGATCACTTTTATAGTCACTTTAATATTTTATCTTAGTCCTTACTGGAGATCATCCAACAACCGAAGTCTAGAGTATGGTACGTTTTTAATCATATCTAATAATAAATTGTGTGTATTAATAAAATGTTTTAATAAAATATACTATTTGAATAAGTAATCTTGGTAGATGCCCATAAATAAAGTAAATATTTTCTAAAATTAGAGAACTATAATTATATTAACACAAAAATGTGCAAGATATTAATTATAAGCGTAATCGGTATCATCTATCTTAAGTAACATTAATAATACTGTGAAATTATTATTAAATTGTTACTTTTTATTATAAACTGTATAATGTTAAGTATATATTTTTGACAGATGATAGGTGTTGTTAATCCTAAACCAGCCTAAAATTGCAAAATGTTTCAATTCGAATTACAATTTTTAAATACTTATATCAATATTATATGATGGGTTAACCATTATGAAATCCACGAATACTCGCTTATTACAGATGGTTTGAGTCATTTTATTTACTAATAAAAATATGAGTAAATTAATTAATATCCTCATTACCAAATAATGTTCAAAATTTTTAGCTCAAACATAATTGTGACTTGTTGAAGGCATGTTACATTTCGTTAAGATCTCTACTAATTTGATTATAATTAATATTTAGAAAAAAAAGCAAAAATAATTATTGATAAAGGGATTGGAGTAGAGTACCAAGAATTTTCTGACGAGGCGTCTGTACGAATAAAAACATTACCGTAGCTCGTCACTATTTCACAACAAATTTAATTCAATAGACTTGATTTCAGCTATATCTGACAGATGTACCGTTAAATTATCGATTTAATGGCTATAACTAATAGTCACAGCGAATATATTAAAAAATTGAGATATCTCCTTATAATATAATTATTACTTTTAGTTAAAATAATAAAATCTTAAATGTTAAACCTATAACAAATATATAATATTATAGTTACTTCATGATCATTGTCAGTATTAAATACTTAGCACTGAACCTAAAAAGATAACTTAGATTTCGTTTTAAATTAATTGATTAAATACCTATTTACCTTTACAGTAGAATTTGCTTATTACAATACCAAGCATAATATTATTCTAGATATAGCGATTCACATCCATGGTACCATGTACTTGGTTGGTTTTATATCACGTGCAGTATGTTTTTGTAATCCTGATATAACAACGTTTGAATATAATGATCTGATTCTCTAGATCCTTTGATGATTGTTATAAGTAGATTCTACTGTAATTTTACTTTGTCAACAATATTAATATTATTAATAAATTGATACTCCAATATTATTTTCAATCAAATATTTTAAAAAATATATTTTTTTTTATTCATAGATGAGTTATTTATGAAAAATGGTCTATTTGAGAAGCTATCTTTTCATAAACAAGCTTATGATATGTTTGATGCCAACATTAAGCACGAGCCACTGGATGTTGATGAAAAGCCATACAAAGAATTTATAGGAAATGGTTATTTTGGAATAACACTGGATTATGATTCTCCTATCTACGTAAAAGGGAACAGAGCATTGTCAATACCTATTTATTGGCATCCAGTAATCAAAATAGATATTGAAGCTCCATCACAAGTGGCTACAGTTGTCAATTACAAAAATGGTATAGCTTACCGATACGAATGTTTTTCTAACAGACTCCAAAGTAGTATTAAATACTTTGCATTCCGAGGCTTACCAAAAATTCTTGTTCAGGATATAGAACTAACAAATCCTACAGATTTTGTACTATACGCTAAACTTAAGCAACATTCTCTCAAATCACATGGTTGGTCAATGTATAGCACACGTCCCATAAAGTAAGTTGGTTTATAAACTCATATTTAAATAAATAAATTGTTTTATCATATTGCTCTAGGTTAGCTGACCCGGCTGAAAGTTATATAGTTGAGTCTGGCATTAGTACATCAACATCTGATAACCCGATTTATGGTGTTTCAATCACGTACTCTCAGTTTCCAATAAATGTTAAGGTAATTATTATAAATTATTTATTCAAGGTAAATGACTAAATAATTATGAAATATTTATTATGGTTATCTTCATAGGTCGCACCACATTCTATATATAAATTACGAATTATTATTTCGATAGAATATTTGGCTTTGAAAAATTCCTTAGAGTTTTCCGGAGTTAGATCAACTTTAGAAAAAAAATCAATTGAAGTAAGTTTGCTTATTCTTTTTATCACTGTTATTTTTAATACTTATGCAATTCTGTTTCATATCTATTTTCATAATTCTCAGTCAATATTGAAAATCTCTCATTATGAAAACATTGAGAAAACACATATTGATATTTGGGAGAAACTATGGAGTACTGGGTTTTCGATAAGCAAGTCAAAAGCCAGTGGCGTTTTAAATGGTGATTTAATCAACGCAACTGTGTATAATGTTCTATCAAGTGTTCGAGCACCTTCCTATGAAATAACATCTTCTCCTGTTGTTCTTGCTAAAGTTGCAAGTAGTCTTTCATATGTTGAAGGTTGTTATGGTGCAAACCATGATACTTTGTATGTATTTGTTTATATTTTATTTTCTAAAATAAATAAAATGAAATTTTACTATACATTAGTTGTTTTATATTTTAGACAAGCTGTAGGCTTATGGTCAAATCTTTCTTCAATTGAAAAAATCTATAATGCTGTGTCACTATGGATTATTACTTTAGAAAAACAAGTAAATGTTGATACATTTATCCTTTTAAATAGCAACTTTCTGCTATTTATTATAGCTGATCATTATGTTGTTTAATCATAATCTTTATTTCAGGGATGTCATAATCTTGTTAATGCAGGAGCTTCTGGAGTAGCTCAAGCAATGGTCCTAAGCTTTGGAAATTTTCGATTTAGTAACCAACATTTGGAATTTAATATGCATCCAAAATTTTTACACAGAGATTTTCATTTCCGGTAATATAAAAAATATTCAATATGCATCCTATTTAAAATTAAAATTTATTTTATTGCAAAATGTTTGCTCAATCAATACGTGAAACATTGATAGATTATTATTTAAAGTATTAGAGATGGGCAACACTAAATATTTTGATATAAATTTTGGATACTGGTCTCTTTTTAGTTAAACTAAAAAGTGTATACTGTATTATATGTACACAATATACCATTAAATACAAAATTTAAATCAAACATTGTACGACTATTATATGAATAAAATTGTAGAGCTATTACAGTTGTCATACTAGAAGCTAATTAATAAAATTTCACATTATATTTCTAATTTTTATTTATTATTTTAATACATAATTCACATGACCTATATTGTACTTATAAAAATGTAATTAAATCTATTTAGTACTTTATTTTAAATCATCCAAGTTTACAGCTTCATTCTTATTATCTCAAAAATGTACACTTTGATTGGAGCATTCAATTTAATATATTGATTTTATATGTTACTATTTTTTATGAATATGTAATTATGATTTTTACATGAAAAGGCGTCTCAACTATGGAAATATGACTCATATAAATGTGACAGTTTCAGTCCAAGAAAATAATAAAGCCATCATCTCTGTAGCTATAGACCGCAGCGATAAGAATTATTATGCTTGTGATGGTGGATGTTTAGATGAACCTGTTTTGTTAGGGTAATCATTGTTATAAGAAAAATTGTATCAAATATCTAAACAATATTTTTTACAGACCAGAATACAAAACGTTTCCTGTTAAGCTAACAGATCCTGTGACTGGAATATTATACTTGACCTATGATAAAAAACACATGGAAGACTTAAAGCATGCAATTCATGTTAAAGAAGTTTCAGAGGGTATCAATTTTGATTCTTATTTTGTTATTCAATCAGTATTATATATAATAACAAATTTTAATAATAATAATATTTTAGCTCCAGCACATGAACATCATGTATTGGCACTTCATAAACATGGCCACCGTCTTGGAGGATTGCCAACATTTTTCTGGGTAGCAATCGGTTGTTTGATTGTCATATTTCACCTTTTCCTATTCAAACTTATTTATAATGAATACTTTAACTGGCAAGATAAATCAAGAATAAAATATGGTAAACTAGCATATAAATAAACATCATGATAATTATATCATTTAAAAATCAAATAAGTAATAACTCTATTTCACAAATGTTGTATGTTATTTTAAAAGTAATTTATAAACCATTATAAAATTTCTTGATTTGTTATCATTGTTAATTTGATTTAAAAAGCATAAGATCTCATGTTTAAACACCTATTAATAGATTTAAATTATTTTGATTGGTAAAACAATCACAAACGAATTTGAATAATATTTGAATTCATTATTATTGACAATATGTGATATCATTATTTACCTTTATCTGGGTTTTATTATTATTTACAATATTTTTTATTATGTCGTATCCAGACTAAATGTTTATAAATATAAAAGCCCAACTATAAATACAACTAAGAACTTCCTTAAAATGTCTACAAAAGTATAAAATCATTAAAATTATGCACATTTAACTCAACCATGTGGATTAATATCTCATTGTGAAATGTTAGTAAAGAATAAATATAAATATTTGTTAATTTAATTAAATAGCAGGATTGGGCAAAATGGTTACATTATTTATTCAGATTATTATAAGAAACATGAATTTAAAATTCATTTTTTGAAAATGTATATTTGAAATATAATATATAAAAAAATATTCAGTGTTAATTATTATTAATAAAATATAGCCCATATGAAATTGATGTGTAAATACTCTATAGTCATTGAAATAGAAAAAATAACTATAGAGACCAGAATTATATGCACTAAAAAGGTGCCAGATTTGATTCAATTGACAATTGTGCATAACATAGTTGAAAAAAATATGCATTCAAATGTTCAAAATAATATGCAGTTTAGGGATTAAAAATATAAATAGTTAATCAATTTTGATAACGAGACAAGTTGACCATATCCAACCAAAAGTCTAGCATTTACCTCAGTAGTAGCTACCTAATTCTATTTAAGAATATTATATATTATATATAAGAAATATTATTTCATTTATACATTTTTATCTTTATAGTAGAGAAAAAAGAAAATAGTTTATTAATGTAATAAGATTGTATAAAATTTGAAAATTGTATGCTCTACCAACAAAATATGTTTTAACCCTTTAAAAATGAAATATAAACTTTTGTCTATGACATTTTTTTTATTTGCTTCAAATAAAATTAATTTTACACCCTCGTGTTTGTGCATACACTTAGTTTGAATATACAAATTCATATAATTCTGGTCTCTAGTCATAAGTAGTAAGAGTCTTTCAAAAATGTTATCTGTTAAGTGTGCTCGTTTGGAGTTAGAATTAAACCAATTGAAAAAATTGACATATTATCATTCAGTTTTATAGACATAATTTGTACCGCTAGTCGATATTATCAATTATTATGAAAAGTTAAAGTATAAAAATACAAAAAATAGTTTCAAAATCAATTATCAATTGATCAAATAAATTATATCTAAAATGCACACCGATTTTGGCCATCCTTGCCTATTAATATAATTGATATTTGAGAACCTGATGTGATTTTTATTAATCAAAGAAGAACTGATTTTTTTACATATTTTCCCTATAGTTTTGAATTATAGCAGTGATTGATACTTTTATTGTGCAAAACAATGCTTATTCTTTTAGCTACACTTTTTTCAGTAATCAATCAAGTATTTATGAATCCATGTTTTCCACATTAACTGTGTTCTATATTTCTCAGTGGAATTGTATGACTACAGAATTAAGGATTAATCACTTATTTAAAAATATATAATACAATTATATGCAAAAGAAAATATATTTAACTCTACCACTTTCATAGCTAAGAATGATTTCTGAATAAATAAAAATATAATTTATAGTTTTATTAATATTTAACAAACATATTTTGAACATATATTGTCGATATTGTCGGTGCATGAACTAATAAAACAAATAAAACTTGTATATTTAATATTAACTAAAATATATAATTAAAGCTTACTATGAAAATAACAATCCCAAAGATGATTTAAGTTAATAATTGTGATAGTATATTATTTATTAATACCATACTTATTTATGAAAAAAAAATTGTTTATTACCCATTTACCTTTGTCATAAATATTTTCTATTAGTTTTAATTAGATCACTAAGAAATTAATAATTTATATTAATAAATAGTTAATTGTAATAAAAAAAAGCTGATAACTATTTTTAATGTTATAAAGTCTATTGTTAAAAGTATTATCAATTTTATTAAGTTATTTTCTTTTTTTCATGTTTAAATTAGTATTATTTGTATTATTTATTAATTTATTGTATTATGTGCTAGTACTAACCATGTATGATTACTAGAATATACTCCTTTAGTCAACATCATAATGCTACAAATATAAATTAATTGTAAAAATATAACATAATTAAGTTACCTAAACAATGTTTAATAAACATCATTCCATTATTTTATGTACACAATATTTAATCAAATTAAAATATTATAATATTATGTGTAAGGTGTAACATTAAATACATAATATTATTTACCACATATTATGTCTGTTATAGACTATTTTTTATATTTTTATCATGCATCATTAAATTATTATTTATTTTACATTATAATCTAATGAAAGTCTTTCTTCAAGTATACCTCATCATTGAGTACTGTAATATATGAGTTAGTTAAAATTCAATGATAAGCTATTGCATATGAAAAACGATTCTGAGCGGAGACATACTCGATGACAAGGTACACTCAGAACTACTATACAATAGTATATACATATTATTCAACAGTACCTACAACAAATTATTGACTTATTGCACTGGCAATGACCTAGTTGAGTTTTTAAGATTTTTTAATCATTAATATACACTGTTGTATACTTAAATTAAGTGTATCTATGTAGTGTCCAATGTGGTTCTGTCTGAATAGTTCCCTTAAACACAGGTTTACTTTCCCGGACAAACTCCGCTCAAAATAATGAAGTTTATCAGATTTAATTGTCACAAATCTTAATAATTTTACTTGTGTGACTTGATATAGTATGTGGTAACTATTAAAACATTGTCTATATCTGGTATGGCGTAATAGTAATAAATTAATACTTACCAAATGAGGGAAAATGAGAGGATTTAGATGTCAATAATATAAATGAGACACTTAGTTATACAGGGTAAAATTGTATACTTTACACCTATTGAAATAAAATGTTTATATAATACATTTTACTGTACTGATGACCTGGAAACAATAAACAGGGCAAGTAATGAAACCAGACTAGTTCTATACACATAAATCTGGTAGACCAAATGATTATTATTATACAAAATGTTAAGTAATCAGAATAGTTATATCAATATGGTGAAACTGTGATAATACCAAATAAAAGAAAACACAATCGTCTAAAATATAATATTATTATGTAAATATAAGATATTATGTAGGTACATATATAAAAATAATAAAAATGTATTAATACTATAATAGTGTTTGGCGTGTTTCATACCATTACACTTGTAGGTACGGTTATAAATTATAATGTTTTTACATTTGTATAATTGTGGAAATGGAAATCATGTAGTCCTAAGCAATACACATCTCAAACTAGCTGATTGAAAGTTACTCAGAAATCTTATGGACATACAATTTTGTATGAAGTGTATTATAAACTGGAAAATACTAAAACATTCTTCTACATGTAAGGGACCTTACATAGATGGCAGCTATTATGAATATATTTGGAAAGAACTATTTTGTTAAACCATTGAGCACCGCTTGCTCTCAATTTAGCTATACAAGTATATACGATAGTATGATACATCTGTGTGTCTATATTTTATAATTCCAAAAGCTTATAAGCTCATTGAAAGAACCCCACCGTATTAACCACATAATTAAAATTTAGTTTTTAATTTTTCATTAAATTTATCACCATTTATAACCAATTTTTCAAAATGTTTAACTTCATAATACATTGTGGCATTGTGCTTTGATTATACTCTTGCAGTTGTTATGAACGATGTCCTCGTGAGTCGTGGTTGGGAGAGTGGTGAGTGTATCATACCCCTTACTCTATGGGAGACCTATTTACACCCAAAATAATTTAATATGCGTACCAGTGATTATATTATTTGTATCTATATACCTACCTACTGTATTTGTATAATCATATTAACTATCGATAAGATTAAGTTCATCATTCCTCAACTAATGCACAAAAGCTGATCATGCCACTGATTGTTATACACCTTCGGCGATTTATTCGATATTTTATTTTTAAGCGAAATATGGTCGTCTTTAATTCGTGATATTTCACAAGCCTACCCTGCATTTCTTGCTTGAAAATTATGCTATCGAACAAATCACTAGAGCTCAAGAGCGCCTAATGTTCCTTTTAAAAGTTTGATGATAGGTCAATTCACTCTAATATCAATAAGCTCACTATTGAAACTAGCGAACGACAATATTCTACGTCGTACTTTTATGAGGCTGAGAAATCAAACGCATGGGTAGCGGCGTCCTGCTATAACAACCTTTAATTGTTTAGTTAGTATTAAAGTATTTTAGAATTAAAATTTAACACATTTTTATTTTTCTGTATAAAATTAAGTATAACTTATACAAATATCTTATAGTAGATTATGCAATGAGACATAATTACAGTTTTCAATTATTTATTAATAATTACCAAAATTAATTTTCTTACCTACTTGACGACAGTTGATGTACAATTAAATAAGTAGGTACTTACTATAGTTACTACTGACTTTAGTTTTCTACTTATGTTAAGAAGACGCTACATTTGTTGTCTCCGTCCCACAAATGTTAAACATAGCAAAAAGTGTTTCACGCGGGAAAGAACCGAGAAGACTACATTTATAACTGAGAAACCAAATATCGTCATGAATGGAGAAGAATTTTGACTGAATCGTAGAGTTTTTATTTTTTCGATAAGACCAATATATCAAAAGTTGTTTAAGTTTGGAAAACGTAAGTATACCAGGTTTTTAAAAGTATTGTAACTTTTTTCTTACTAATGATATCAAACAAATAAAACATTTACGACACAAAAAATATTATCTTCTACTTTTATTTTGTAAACTTTTGGGATTTCTACTAGGACTACAGACCGAGTGGTTCTATCCAGCGCAAAACAGTTTTTGCTGTGTTGTACATTTTTACAACATATACCTATAATACTAAACTTGCAGTTGTAGCGTCCTCATAAAAAAGTATTTGAAAAGTATTATAATAAATGACAAGTATTTGTATTTGTTCTTGAATACTTTTTCTCACAAGTATTTGAAATGTATTTGAATGCTCTCTGAATAGATGTATTTGTATAAAAATTGTACCTGTGTTTAATTACAATTTTAAAATTATTTTGTACACGACTGTAAATATGTTATAACATTGCTATAATAGAGGTAGTACTATTTTTTTTTATTCTCAACGTTTGTTCTATGCACACAATGTATAGTCAAAATATTTATTGTGACGGCCATATTTATTAATAGGTACACAAACTTGTAGAAAAACATTATAAGTTTATAATAAACACACAAACGCAAAATAAAATACAATTCATAGAGTTTGCAATGCATAGCGTTTCCTTGCCCTTCCCTAGTTCCACCCCCCCCCCCCTATATTTTAGTCGCTTTATGAGGGAGAACTTCGTAGGCATTACTTTCCTCATACAGAATCGTATATTTAAATAATAATATACAATAGCTGTTATCCTCGGTGTCCATTGAGTGCATACTTAGTACAAGTGCAATAGTGCATACTATTTAAACACTTATTCAAACTTCAAAGAATACATATCATTACATACTCATCATTTTTAGCACTGCTTACGTATATACCTATAGGCACCTACTTTAAATGTTGTCCTGTTTTATTTACACATTAGTACATTATTTCACATGCTTACACAGTTACACATTGCAAACATACCTATTGTAATACGATTACAAAATATACTATAAAGAGTAAAATAGTAATTTTAAATGTATTTTTTTTAAATAATGAGTATAATATATACATTTAGAAACATCCATTTAGCTTGATTTTGAGAGATA